ATCTCCTGACCTTGTGATCCACCTGCCCCCAAAATGCTGGGATTACAGATGTGAGCCACTGCACCTGGCCACAAACGTGGTCTTCCTGGAGAAACGGGGTGGTACCTGGGGGAGGTGTGGAGAAATGACAGTCACAGCTGGTAAAATGAGAGCTCTTTATGTGTGAAGTTCTGGGGCACAGTGGGGTCCCAGGGCTGAAGAAGACACCATTCCTGCACCCACCGAGTTCAGTAGCAGCTTGGGGCCTGCAGAGTTACAGCCCAGGGACTGATGTGCTGTGATGGATGAGGCCCAGAGCCTGGTGGGAGCCTGCAGAGGGAAGCCTTCCTGGAGGAAGTGATGTCTGGCTGACATCACTGAAAGGGAGGTGAAGAGGCCTCCTCCCCCAGGAAGCCTTCCTTGATGTACTTGCACAACACCCCTCATCTCTGTTTCCATAGAACTCGCTGCATTCCTCTTGGTATTGGCTATTCATGGGGATTGCATTCACACAGGTGAAGCACCTTCCACGCCCAGATGCTGAGCTCGGTACTTTCACCTGAGTTTTCTCATTCCTCCTTGGAGCTGCACTGTGAGGGAGGTCCTGCCAGGATTCCCTCCTCATAGGGGTGGAAACTGAGGCTCTGGGGAGGGCCTTGGCCGTGCTGAAGCTCAGTTTGAATTCTGCTTGACCCCATCCAGTGGCCTTAGCACACAGCAGGGGCCTAGAAAACGTTTTTTGAAATGACACTAACACGAAGGGAGGTTTGATCTTGCAGAGGCCAGAGGAGGAGAAGGTCTCCCGGCTGACTCCACAGACACAGCTCAGGGGCAGACTGAGCACGCCCTTCGCTCCTCCTCGGGACCTGCTTCAAGGGAGCTTTGCTGTGGCTTACACTGGGTCCCTGGGCTGCCGGGTGAGCTTGGGAGCCCTGGCGTTGCTCTGGAATAAGGGAGGCTGGAGGTAGAGGGAAAGCCCCATCCAAGCCCTCCTGCCACTCTGGGCCCGCCTTGGTTCAGGTGGGCCTCACCTCTTACGTCTAGACGAAGGCATGGCCCCTCACTGGCCTTTCACCCCATCCTCTAACAGTGTCCACAGGCCGACTCCAGAGGGGCCTTCCTGATCCGAGTCCTACCAAGTCTCACCTTGGCCTGAACCCCTTTGGCATCAAGTTCAATGACACCAGCCTAGCAAACCTGCTTCGGCCGCCTGTCCTCCCTCCCTCTGCCCCTTCTCTTCTTCCTTCCACCTTCTTTGTCCTTTTTTCTTTCCTTCTTCCCGCCTTTTCCCCTTTCTTCCCTCCCTTTCTTCTTTTTTTCTCTTTTCCTCCCTGTCTTTTTTCTTTTCCTTTTATTAAAAAATTAAAAACTATCAAAAAATAAATGAAATTACTGTGTATTACACTTAGCGGTGGATACACGTGATTATGCATTTGTCTAAATCCAGAGACTGTGGAAATCAAGAGCGAACCCCCGATGCACACAGAGTTTCCAGTGACATCACCACATCAGCGCCGGCTCCTCAGTTGTCATGAAGGCACCACCCTGGTGGGCGCTGTTGATTGCGTGTGGGGGGGGGGTACGAGAACAATATGAGTATATATTACACCATCCGCTCAGTTTGGTGTGAACCTAAAACTGCTCTTTAAAAAGTCTTCAAAAAAAACCCCGAAACATTTTCCGGTTTCCAGCAAAGGCAGATAGCCATATAAAAAAACAGCATGCACCCTGTACTCGCTTTAGGAGAGGACTCTTACAGATGTCACTGAAGTCCCCATGTCACCCTGCCAAATCTTTTTGCTTCGTTGACTCATTTCTTTTTTTGGTTGGGTTTTGTGTTCCGCCGGACTCTCCTGGTGGAGGGGCAGCAGGCAGGCGGCCACTCACGCTTCCACACCGCGTGGTTCCCTCGCCCATTCACGCATTGCTCCCTGTTCGTCCCCTCATCCATGTATCCATTGAGTTGAGGGTCCATGGATTCATCCACATTTCCTGGGAGTCTTCTTGGGGTGGGAGCTGGGGACATGCAGGTGAATGAGCTGTGGTCTCTGCCTGAAGTTACTCAAGGTGCAGGGGAGGGACAGAAAGAAAGCCCAGCAAAACCTGGGACCCAGTGGTTGCTGTGGAGCTGGAGTAGGAGCAGGACTAAGTGATATGTGAGCTGAGCAGACAGAGCGCGTATCTGCTGGAAAGGAGGCTGTGAGGATGGTGGACTTCCTGGAGGAGGCAACCCTCGGCTGTCTGGGCTCTGAACAATCAGCTAAAGTTTTTTACTTGCTGCCAGAGCCAGGCCAGAGGCCCCCAGGTGGAGGGAAATAGTTCAGTGATCAAGGTGAGCACAGCACTTGGTTTGCAGGGACCAGAGGGTGGCCCAGCTGGGATGAGGCTAAAAAGCCAGAGCCAGACACCAAGGGCTCCCCTCCTGCCCAAGACTCTGAATTGAGGCAGTGGGGAGCACAGGGTGCCTTGCAGAGCAGGTGGCACAGGCAGATTCGTGGCCCTTTGTCCTCCCTGGCCACAGTTTCTCCATTTGCAACCTGACAAGCCTCAGGAACTACCTGGACTCTAGAAGTGCGTGCTGGAATCATATCCATCCTGACCCCTCTGACAATGAGCTTCCTTAGGGACAATTCCAGGAGGTCAAGGTGGGCGGATCACAAGGTCAGGAAATCAAGACCATCCTGGCTAACATGGTGAAATTAGCCAGACATGGTGGCATGCACCTGTAGTCCCAGCTACTCGGGAGGATGAGGCAGGAGAATTGCTTGAACCCAGGAGGCGGAGGTTGCAGTGAGCCAAGACCGCGCCATTGCACTCCAGGCTGCGTGACAGAGCAAGACTCTCTGCCTCAAAAAAAGAAAAAAAAAAAGGACGACAGAGAGAGAGAAAGAGACAGTTCCCGGGTCCCTGGCAATTTGCAGCGTTTTGGTTTTCCCACACTTGGCGTCAGACTGAATCTGGTGGTCATGAGTGCACAGCTGGTGCATGAGAGATGCTGGCATGGCATCACGCCTGCTGCAGCAGGGGCTGTTGGGAGGCCTCTCTCCCAACGTGGGTCCTGACACATCTCAGTGCAGCGCTCTTGTGGAATGGCATGGCCCTCTTGACTGCCGGGACACCCTCTTTCTCATGAATACGCCCAGGTTTCTTTAAGAATGCAGTGGCCTCCCAGTTGGGAGAAACCTTGCTTGGGTTGAGGGCCAACCTCTCAAGCCCCTCGAGCCTCTTCCAGGGCACAGAAAGTGGAAACTAGGAGCAGAGGACACGGAACGTCCTATGGTATGCACGTTTGTGTGTCCACCCCCACCAACTTATAATCCTAAAAGTTAAAATCCTAGCCTCCAGTGTGACAGTATTAGGTGGGCCTTTGGGAGTTGATTAGGTCACAGGGGTGGGAGGTTGGAAACCTCTTAGACGAGGTCAGCGCCCATGTGAAAAGGCACACCGGGAAGAGGACCACTGTCTCCGGTGCGTGAGGACACAGCAAGGAGGCAGTCTGCAAACCCGGAAGAGAGTCCTCGCCAGACACAGGCCCTGCCTGCACATGGAACACGGACTTCCCAACATCCAGACTGTGAGAAATAAATGCCTGTTGTTTGAGCCACTCAGTTTATGGCACTGTTAAGCAGGCTGACTGAGACAGAAGGAGAGAAGTCCTGAAGTACCCCGCTGCCCTTCTCTGATCAGTGAGGGTTCCCGCCCTTTTCCTGTGACCCAGGGTCTCTCCTAAATAACTGGGATTGGTGAGCCTTTTTCTAAGCCTTTGTCAGGGCTGCTGGAGACAAAGTTCTGCGGTTTCCCAATGCTTGTTTCTCTTTTGTTGGTTGACAGATGGGAAAAGGATTTGGAGGAACGAATTGAGGCAGCAGTCCCAGGCCTGGGAGTCAGGGGCACCAGGCACTACCCCGGCCTGTGCCTCCCCCGCCTCCCCCTGGCTTCAGGCTCCCTCCTGAGGTAGGTGGACTGCATTATCTCTTGGTTCCTTCCAGCTTAAAAATTCTATGTTCTAAATCCATCCATCAAACCCTATTTTGAGGGCTTTGAAGTGAAGCCTGGGTGTTTTTACCTTACCCCACACATCTACCTCACACCTTCCAAAGTTCCAACATCTCTTTTGATTGGCATGTCAAGTGGACACATTTCTGGACCAGAGGGGCCCCGACTGTGAGCCTCTGTTTCTGAGGAGCTAGCTGTTCACTTCCAATTCTTGCAGGTTTGTTTGCTCCTGAGGGCACGTTGCACAACGAGGAATAAAGTCTCCCAGATTATTACCTCTGTATCACCTTGAAAGCCCCATGCTTCTTCAGTGTGATGGGAGCAAGCACGGTGAGTGATGGATAAAGGAATAGTGGCAGCAGTGAACTTCAGCGGATGGAGGAAAAGCACCCCAGTCAGCTCAGAATAAGATCCTGCGCATGGTTATGTAACAAACCCAGGTGTGTGGGCACTTCTGTTGAGCCATGGTCCTGCTTCCCAAATTGACTGGTGAAGAAATTTCTAGTGAAGGCCCCCTTCGGTCAACACGGAGTAACTGTATACACGCTCTTTCTGGACCTGGTGTCAATGGGCTGGCCAACCACACTTGGCTGCGGGCCTACATTTCCCAGCTTCCCTGGAGGTGGGGGGACTCATGTGACTGGCTCTGGCCAATGGGCTGTGACCAGAGGTGATGGGTGTCACTTCTGGGCTGAGGCAGTTATGAGCCGGTGGGACTCCCCTGTCTTCCTCTTCCCCTGCCATGGAGGTGCTGGAGGCCACAAGGGGTGGCTAGGGGATAGGAGGGCCACCAACAGCCTACAGCAAAAGAGGACATGTGAGCCTTTCTTGTGTGAACTTCTTAAAGAGATTAAGTTGTGCAGTGGCCCAGCCTGGGTTACCCTAACATGAGGAGGTGGACACAACAGTACCCGCGTCCTTTGGAAAACCCGACTTTGAACCCTGGCTCTCCTGCTACTGCCTGTGCAGCCTGGAGCTAGCTGAGGGGGCGGGGGGCAGGGATTAGGAAGAGTGGTTGTCGAATGTCCAGCCTGGTGCATAAGAGGGGCACAGTCTGGGTCTGGGTCAGCTCTCTGTGAGCCCTGCCCTGTGACTTCACTCCCGCTGAAGGCTCAGTCACCTGGGGGGACCATTCCGTGAACAGCGAGGTCACATCCACCCCGCCATATGTGCCTTTGGTCAAAGTTGCAGAAGCCTGTGGTTGGGCGTGAACCCAGCACTTTGCAGAAGTGTGAACTCTTAATTTACCTCCCCCACAGCCACACACACAGGAATGAAGGCAGCAGAGCCCAGCAGGAACCCGTCCTGCCCCAGGCCTGAGCTTTCTTAAGAGGCTGCATGGGGCAGAAAGGTAAAGTAGTTTCTTCCTCATCTAACACTTGCAGGAGCAGGGGCAGATCTGATGCCTAGATAATTTCATTTAGTGGGGCGCTTGGGGAGGAGTGAAAACAGGGCTTCTTCACCCTATTATGTCCAGGAGGGTTTTCCGTAAGCACCAGAGAAATGTGTCTTTTATCTAATTCCCTTTTCCTTGTGCGGTAATTTAGTACTTCGAGTGAGTTCATTGTTTCTCTTGTTTTTAATTCTGTGTTTATTTATTAAACACAAAAATGAAAATGAAACCCAGCTGCACACGAAGCTAGCACTTCAGGGGCTGAAGAGTTTCAAAGTCCCAAGGTAGGACAAAAGGTGGCAGGGGCCCTGGGAGTGGGAGTTCAGGCTCAACCAGCCGTGGTCTGGGCCTCAGGGTATTCCCAGTCCAGTCATTATTGCTGTTTTCCAAGGCTGACAAGAAGGTTCGTTAGTGCATGTCAACATTCTCTTTGCAGATATTAAATGCAGGGAAACCCTTATTTATTTGTTTTTAAAGACAGGGTCTGTCACCCAGGCTTGAGTGCAATGGTGCAATCATAGCTCACTGCAGCCTAGAACTCATGGGCTCAAGTAATCCTCCTGCCTCAGCCTCCCAAGTAGCTGAGACTGCAGGCCTTTGCCGGTACGCTTGGCTAATTTTCTTTTCAAATTTTTGTACAGATGGGATCTTACAATGTTGTCCAGGCTGGTCTTGAACTCCTGGCCTCAGGAGGTTCTCCTGCCTCAGCCCCCTAAAGTGCTGGGATTGCAGGTGTGAGAAATTGCGCCTGGTCTGGGGGGTAATTTCCACCGTGTTTTATGACTTTGTAGAAAAGGCCTGTTGCCCCTGAGCCCCCAGGGCAGGGTCTGTGTGTGGGTAGCTGGGCTCTGCTCACCTGGGCCGGCTCATTGTCTAGCACAGAGCAGAAGCTCCCATTCACTTCCTGGGGTTGGCATAACAAAGTATTGCTAACCGGGTGGCTTCAAACAAGAGGTGCTTATTGTCTGACAAGCGGGGAGGCCTGAGGTCTGAAGTCACCCTGCCTCCCGGCCACGCTCCCCTCCAGGCTCTCCGGAGGGGAGAGAGCCCTTCCTTGCCTCTTCCTAGCTTCTGGTGGTTGCCAGCATTCTTTGGTGTTCCTGGCAGCTGTCTGGGTCCGGTGTCTGCCTCCACTGTCACCGGATGTCTTCCTTGTGTGTCTCTGTGTTCACATGGTTGTCTTTGTAGGACACCAGTCATTGATTGGAAGCCCCACCCTAACCCAGGATGACCTCATTTTAATTGATTATTCGCAAAGACCCCGAGGCACATTCACAGGTACGGGGCCCAGGGCTCCAGCATATTATGGTGGGGGGCACGATTCGACCCACAGCAGAGTGCATAGTTACCAAGTGAACCATGAGGTGCTCTGGGAGCAGGGAGGGCACTGGAAAATGAGGGCGAACGGGCCGCAGAAAGGAGGGCTTTCATCTAAGATGTGTCTGTGTGTTCAAACATTGCGTGGCACTGCATCGGGCGAGAAAGGCACAGTCTTAGTCAGTTCGGCTTTGCCGAAGCACAGGGTCTCTCTCTTCCTAGGGCCATCGTGCATTTTTGTTGACTGTTGATTCTTTCCCTTTATTCAGCAACGCCGCTGAGGCCAGATCCCAAGCTGAGTTCTGACGAGATATACAAGCAACGCACACAGTTCCCGCCCCCAGGGAGCTCCCAGCCAAGCAGGAGAGAAGGCTGTGGAAATGATCCTTCTGGTACCACAGCTGCAGAGGTCACCTAGAACTCTGGGGGGATTGGGGGAAAATGGGGCAGAGCCAGTTTAAAAACCCTGTCCTTAGCCAGGCATGGTGGTGGGCACCTGTAATCCCAGCTACTCGGGAGGCTGAAGCAGGAGAATCGCTTGAACCCAGGAAGTGGAGGCTGCAGTGAGCTGAGGCCGTGCCACTGCACTCCAGCCTGGGTGACTGAGCGAGACTCTGCCTCAAAACAAAAACCAAAAAACAAAAACAAAACCCTGTCTTGAATTTTTGACATTTATTTTATCCAAGTCAGGGCTCCTGGTCTGAAGAATATTTGACCTCACGACTATTGGGGGACACTGGGGCTCCCTGCCCGGGGTTAGGATGTTCTCTGCAGATATCAGGGCGTAGGTGCCGGTGACAAGGGTGCTTTGCCGCTGTGGCCCAGAGCTGGAAGCACAAGCTCTCAAAGGCTGGTTGTGAAGCTTCCAGGGGAGACGGTCCTCTCAGGAAGAATAAGAGCCATCCTGTAGCCTTTGCTGTTCCAGAAGGCTCCGTGGTGAATACATAATTAGGCCCTCTGTAATTACCAGTTTGAATCTGCCTAGGACACTAGGGCTCCCACCCCCTAATTTACCTTATAAATTTATTCTGCTAAAAAAGTCGAAAATGTCAGTCTTCTGTGAAAGCTGCATAAATGAATTATCTCCCTGATGACAGAAGGTGGGGAGCGGGGAGGCTTCCAGAGGACATTCTTCACTGTGAGCGTCAGAAAGTGCTCCACGCTCCGCGAGCACCCAGCAGAGAGCCTAACCAGGTTGCTTCCTAAGCCCACGGAGGGCCAGGTTCCAGCAGGTTCTGTTTAGCTGGTAGGCTGGGTAGCCAGCCCCAGCAGGGTGAGCAGAGATAGCTTTAAAATCAGCCTGTTTGGCCGCTGTAAGAGAGCCTTGCCTTAGTGTGCAGACCCAGTGATGGAGGCCGACAGACAAAAGGAAAGGAAGGAAAAAGCATGGCAGCTTCTTAGAGAAAGTCTCATCCAACCACGTCCCACGTACCTCGCTGCACCCAGGATAGCCTCACACCATAGCGTGACAATCACCTCCTTGATTCTTTCACAAAGAATAGTTTTACAAAAATATTGATTACAATGTATGAGGCTGGGCACGGTGGCTCATGCCTGTAATCCTAGCACTTTGGGAGGCCAAGGCAGGAGGATCTCTTGAGGTCAGGAGTTCGAGACCAGCCTGACGAACATGATGAAACCCCGTCTCTACTAAAAACACAAAAATGAGCCGGGCGTGGTGGCAGGCACTTGTAGTTTCAGCTACTTGGGAGGCTGAGGCAGGAGAATCACTTGAACTCAGGAGGTGGAGGTTGCGGTGAGCTGACTGCCACTGCACTCCAGCCTGCATGACAGAGCAAGACTCTATCTAAAAAACAAAACATAACAAATGTACAGCAAGTCTTTAATGACATTCTAGGAGGTTTGGGAAACAAAGTTATTTTAAAAGCCCCCACCCCAGTCTCATCATTCTCACACAATAGCTGCTGTTATTTCTGAATCTCCTTCGTCTTTTTTTCATATGTAATCTATTATTTTCCGCCTTAATAATTAGCCACAAGGTTCAGTTGCTACAACCTTTAATTTTTAATTTCTTTCTTTTTTTTTTTGAGATGGAGTTTTGCTCTTGTCGCCTAGGCTGGAGCTCAGTGACAAGATCTCAGCTCACTGCAACCTCTACCTCCTGGGTTCAAGCGATTCTCCTGCCTCAGCCTCCCGAGCAGCTGGTGAACAAGCTGTCCACCACCATGCTCAGCTAATTTTTGTATTTTTAGTAGAGACAGTGTTTCACCATGTTGGCCAGGCTGGGCTCGAACTCCTGGCCTCAGGTGATCCACCCACTTCAGCCTCCCGAAGTGCTGGGATTGCAGGTGTGAGCCACCGCGCCTGGCTGGCCATGGATTTTCTAGTTTGCCTGTGTTAGGTCTTGTACTGAGGCCAGCTGGTTCAGTCACTGATACCCTCCTATGTGCCTGCCACAGGCACAGGAGACAAGGTAGGATCTGGACTGTCTGCTTCAAGAAGCTCAAATCCCAGTGACCTGCCATTAGCAGACAACAACAACAACTATAATGCTTTCCTCTGGGTGCTGGCAAAGGTCAGCCTGGTCCCTGGCACAAAGTAGGTGTGCTATGATTTCAATGCGTCCCCTCCAAAATTCACATTGAAACTCAATCCCCATTGTGATGATAGTCAGAGGTGGGGCCTTTGGGGAGGTGATTGAGTCATGGGTGCTTTGCCCTCATGAGTGGATTAGGAGGAAAGGGCTGGAGGGAACTAGCATAGGCCCGTTTGCTCCTCTGCCATGTGAGGATACAGTGTTTGTGCCCCGGGAGTATGTGGCAACAAGGCACCATCTTGGCAGCAAAGTCTGGGGCCCTCACCAGACACCGAACCTTCTGACATCTTGATCTTCCATTTGCCAACCTCCAGGAATGTGAGAAATCAATGTCTATTTTTTCTTTTTAGACAGAGTCTTGCTCTGTCACCCAGGCTGGAGCGCAGTGGCGTGATCTCGGGTTGCCGAAACCTCCACCTCCTGGGTTCAAGTGATTCTCCTGCCTCAGCCGCCCAAGTAGTTGGGATTACAGGCACCCACCATCATGCCTGGCTAATTTTTGTATTTTTGTAGAGATGGGGTTTCACCATGTTGGTTGGGCTGGTGTTGAACTCCTGATCTCAGGTGATCCACCTGCCTTGGCCTCCCGAAGTGCTGGGATTACAGGCGTGAGCCGCCGCACCCGGCAATGTTTATTCTTTATACATTACCCAGTCTCAGATATTTTGTTACGGCAGAACCAAGACAAGCCGCTTCATCAGTATTAGCTGATTATGTACACCAGTGAAATCTGGGGGAGATTTCCCATTTCATTCCTGAAATGTTGACGTGTGTACTGTAGATTGAGTTGAATGTGAATCTCCTGTTATTTGAGCATAAGGCCTCCATAATAATATCTATCATTTATTCAGTGCCTCCTCTGTGCCAGGCTTGTGCTGGGGGCTTTCTGAGAGCCCATTTGCTGAGATCCTCACAGAGGCCTTGGATGTAATAGGGGACTACCTGGGATGCTGAGAAGAGAAACCGCATGAAGGCCTGGAGCTGGCAGCACGTGCACCTGGGCCCTGGTGGTCTCGGAGGCGTACGTCAAAGCTGTGTGTGCTCTGTCCTGCCTGTCTCACAGGCTGCTGGGAGGACACACTCAAGTCAGGGAAGCCAAAGGGCTGTGCACACTAACACGCTGTCCCAACATGAGTTTTTTGTCTGTTTCAAATTTCACCAGCAAAAGCTCTGTCTTACCCCACTCTCTCCATCCGTTTCTTGCTGCCTCAATTATCTGGTTTCATAACCATGGTGTGTCTTGTTGGACTTTGCTGTCTATCACAAACAAACAAACAAAATCTCTTCTACTAAGCGAGTATACTGTTTCCTTATTGCAAAGCTGTTTCTCTGTAATTCTCTTCCTTCCTCCATGTCTATCCGGCCTTGACTTTGTCTTTGCTGTTCTAGTTCCACATCTGGTGATGTGTCCAGCTGTCTGTTATTAGCTTGCGGGATGGTTGGAAATCAAACCTGGGTGTAGGACAGTGTACTGGTTATACACAGAGACAGACCTGGGGAGATTTGTGCTCAACCTCATGGTGGCTGACTTCAGGCTTCCTGTCTAAGGGGGATAAAAGTCTTTCTCTTCCCAGGATTAGGTAAGATAAACGGCCTAACAATGTAATTAGACAGAATGTCTTTTTGAATGAGCAGGCCTTGAGGGTCTTGGAAGAATTTTGCAATCTGTGCTCAGGCCCCCTGAGCCCTGCGGCTTTGCTCCCGTGGCACTCGGGACACACGGCCATGAGTCCGTGTGATGGGCTGTGCTGTTACTATTCTAATAGCAGGGCTGGGTCACCAACTTTTGTTTCCCCTTGCTCTGTTCTTTGGAGCTGGGGTGGTGTGTCAGATTCAGGTTTGTCTGAACCTGGAACCTTGGGAGCACCGCCTCACAACATTGCCGTCCTTGGGCCTGTCTGTATCCCGTGGTGTGCTTGGCATACAGCAGGCGTCCCATCCGTGTGTGTCATCGAGGGAACAAATCATGGCCATGGTTATGGTGAGACCGCTGCATGGTGGCAGACCAGGCCAGGTGCTTTGCTAAGACCCACTCATCCCCGCTTACACAAAGCGCTGAAGCCCATCTGACAGGGAGAACACAGAACCTGAGAAATGAGTGCCCTTTCCCCAGCCGACTCAGCCAAAGCCCGAGCCTCCAGATGGGCACCCCTGGCAGCATGTAGCAGGCCAGGGTTTGCAGGGCAGGGGAGCCGTTCTAGTTCAAGGCAGCAGGCAGCCCTCATGGCTGGTGGGGAGGGGGCTGACAGTCACTGGCCATTACTCCCAGTAGCAGGCAGGTTTTAGGGAATGACGCCTCCATTTTTCACTTAGAGGAAACCCTTGATGTGCGCTGTGGCAGTGGCAGAGGCAATCGCATGGATCTGGGAGCTAATGCTACGGCTGTAATTCCTGCCACCTTCTCGCAGCTCAGTGGGAGCCTCCGATGAATAACTCGTGGCATTCGGCGGCTGTGTACATCTGTGGCAGGTGTCACTGTCAGAGGTCGGGCAGGGCACTGGTGCTCCACCTTGCCTTGTCTTTAATTAAAAGAGGAAATATGTCAGAACTGACATGACCACTGTCCAGCCTGCCAGCTCCCTTCCTACCACAGTGAAAGCAGCCGTTAAAGATGCTCATCTCATGAGGAGAACGAGTCTTCTGCTTCTGGGGAGAAATCACTATCTCCAGAGGGTTTCCTGGCCTTTAGGGGTCCCCCTGCCACCTCTGAGCCATCAGGGGCTCCCCTGCATTTGCCCCTTAATTGGGAAGTGTAACCCTTAGGGATGGGTTGGAGCATGGGAACAAAACAATTCAATAAAGTCACAATAAAGCATCCAAAGCCCTTCATACTTTTCTCTTTCTTTAACTCAATTTATTTTTCATTTTGTGGACAGAGATTTAGTCTGGGTATTAGTTTATGATTTTTACTGAAGGAATTACTCAACACACACACATATAAAAAGGAAATATTATTTTTATCATTTATTTTGTGCCATGTATACCATAGGAGAAAAAAACGGAGCGAAATCACTTCAGTACCGCTGTGTTTTTCATTACAAAGTTATTACATATAGAAATTACTCCAAATTATCTGAAATGAATGGAAATTATGAGGTTTAAATTCCCCAGGTTACTGCAGGCACAGCTCTGGAAATTTATTTTGTCATCTTGCTGAACATAATTGCTACAACAAAATTTCTTCCATTTTACAACTGCAGCATAACTTATTTATACCGGCGTAGCTGTAATTTTACATCAATAAGTTGCATGGGAAGGAATACACAGGTGGTAATTGAAAACAATAATTTGTACTGAGGTCCAGGTGGAATGGTTGGCTCTGAAAAAGGCTCCGGTTATTATCGGCAACAGCTTTGTGTCACTGTGGCCTCTTCCCATCCCCTTAGCCAACACCGGTCAGACCATCCAAACACCTTCAATCACATCCCCGTGGCTGCTGTGGTGAGAGCTGCAGCTCGTCTGACTTTCCACCAAGGCCCATGTA